TGTCGATGAATCATATTGTTACACGAAAAGTAGAGTTTTGGTTTGGTCATACGTTTCTTTCTGTCTGTATTTATTGCTGTCTGTACTTATTATTTATGTCTACACATAAATACATAAATAATACGTTGCCCGCCTTCCAAGTTTTGTGCTTATTCTTCAGAAGCTTTCTTAATTTTTCTTTGCAACGAACATTATTTTCGACCCTGCACCGAAGAATGAACCGTCTTTTGAGCATTCTTTCATATTTATGGAATGCGAAGGGCTACAGCAGTACGTAATAGGACTTGCGGCTGTTTTTATACCTGTTGATCAACGTCTTGAACCGCTTTTATGATCTCCGCTGCACTGTCATGTTCGAAACTTTTCAACGTTTTCTCTATAAAGCGTTAACTACTGCATCATAGAAGGAACAATTCCTTTCAGAGCACCGCATATATGCCTCTAACTTTATAGTTATGAGAATACAGTTATTAAGATTTTATTAAGGAGAACTGTTTCCTAGTTGTCTACGTAAGTTCTCTTGTTTAGCGTATACTGCAATAACTGTTAAACGATGTAAGCGTTTGATTTGTAAGGTAAAAGCTGTCGCAATGCTTTTAGCAAAAAGTAATGCTTTTCTTATTTTTATGATTTATTATTCTAATTCCGAAATTTTTGTTTTCAATTCACGCCAAGATTATAAATCTCGTCACTATTTTTCAATGCAAATGGTTTCGGATGTGACATAAGACATTCCTCTATTTTGTTCCGACGCTTTGGCGTCCGGAACAGGAGCCGTTATCAGGTTTTTTTTCACAAAACAAGATACAGTATACAATTCAATAGTAAAGTACAATTACAAACTTGTCATGGTATAAAAGATTAACAAGAAAATGTACAATAGGATTTGACGCAACTTTATAAAAAGGATGAATAGAGCTTTGAAACTGGAGCAGCTAAGAAATTGATGAAAATCAATGTTTTCTATTTTGGCTACATCATAAATTTTTAAGCAGAAAAGACATGAATTATGCTGGCGTAGTTGTTCCATATCCTTTTTTAGTGAAATATTAAAAAATTACTTTAAGAGTAGACTGAGCTCGTCCTTTTCACATTCAAGGATGCTAACATTTGTTTCATTAATGATGTGCTTGAACTTTGATGAATTGGCTGCAATCATGGAATGCTGGATGGTTCCTCCTAGCACCATTTTGGTTTTCTTTTATTTTCACGTTAAGAGTCCTGTATATTTCGCTAATGTAGATTCGATTGCAGTTATCAGGTTTAATGTGATAAATCACATGCAGTTTATCTTGATTAACTTGAGAGTAATCTTGCCTTAAACGGATACAAACGGGTTGTGTGTATAAATAAGAGCGCAAAGCATTGTTTTTGTAGATAATTATTAAATGCGTAAGAAATGCCAGGATTAAACGGAATAGAGATGACGTGATTTATCAGATTTGTTGTGAAAACTGCACTTGGACTAGAAGTTGTATCTTCTGCAGTATAATCAGTAGTAATTCGATGGTTACTGATATAACCAGTTTCAGTGACTTAAGCCTATCTTATCAGCAAGACAGATTTCGAAAAAACTACCTATAAAAATGATTTGGATACCCATTTCAATTCCCTGTCTTCCACTTCAGCATATAAGTGCTAGGGAGCCCTTGCTTGGGTGACTCTGTCTACAACTATCAAAGTCATGTTACCCTTTTTAAAGAAACGCAATTCAAATAGATTTTCGAAGTCATCCTTACGACTATTACAGGAAACATATCCTTTTCTGCTATGATAAGATCTAGTGATTGAAATTGGTTGTCTTCATC